AAAATATTTCCAAATGTTATAGGTATACGCAATAAAGAACCACAGTAGTGTTCTCTCTGCCGTTGGCCAACAAAATTCTGCATATCTAATATACGGGTTAAAATATTTCCAAACGGTATAGGTATACGCAATAAAGAACAAATTCCAAACGGTATAGGTATACGCAATATAGAACCACAGTAGTGTCCTCTCTGCCGTTGGCCAACAATATTCTGCATATCTACTTTACGGGCTAAAATATTTCCAATCGGTATATGTATACGCAATAAAGAACCACAGTACTGTTCTCTCTGCCGATGGCCTTCGACTGTATTTATTGTATAATATTATTTTAAAAAATTGACAATTTGAACTGGCTCGCTTTGCTCGCACTTGTGTAGCATTTTTAAAGCTAGTATTAGAAGTTGATATTTTGGATTCGCCCTATATAAATTGAATATTTGGTCATCGAGGCTTCTGTATACGGAGTGCGGGGCATAGGCCACAACCCGACCCGTCCTCACGCGTAGTAGTACTACTTATTACTACCTGCTTAGGGCTATCTAGCAGGAGCTGTATAGGTTTTTCAAAATAGCTGGAAATGGCAATATTATTATTTAATAGTTGATAGTTTGAATTCGCTCGCTTCGATCGCTACTTGTATAACAACATAAGCTAGTATTAAAAATTGATAATTAGAATTCGCTCGCTACTCGGGTAAAAATAATAGACCTATGGCCTACTAATGTATTTATTGCATATTTTTATAAAAAAAGACAATTTGAATTGGCTCGCTTCGCTCGCACTTGTGTATTAGTTTTAAAACTAGTATTAGCTTTAATTTATAAAATTCGGTTATGAACTAAGCTTCAAATGCTGTAGACGATCCGCTATCATCTGAGAAAATGAATAGTCGTGTTTGGTATTCCTCCCTAAATCCACTAGCATTTCATATAAAGTACTGGCACCCGCTCCCATTCCTACCTGTACGCTCATGTTATCGGTATATCCGATTGATTTTGCACCGTTACAAACATGAAGTTGGGCATACATTGTACTATTCGAAAATTCAGTCGGCCAGCAGAATATATTTGATAAACGAAGGTCACTGCATTCTGTACTATTAGGTGCTGTTTTTGACACCAGCAAAACTGGCAAGGTTGTATTCACATGCTGTCGATGAAGATCGGATGCAATTTTAATACAATCTACATTATTTCGGCAACCAAGCTTGTTAAACAGTGGGAGTTTAGCAAATGGATTGGGCATATGAAACATTTCATCCCGTTGTCGTATCATCATGCACAAATAATCATTCCCCATATTTAAAAGGTCCGTAATCCTGAGCGACAGGTTAGTTACAGTATCGGTGAAGGTTGTTTCAACGCTTGGAAGTGTCATATTAAACGGATGTCTGTCTCTAAAATGAAGCCTGAGGTAGGTTCTATTGCACTTGCGTACAATGTCACAGAGCGTTCGCCTTTTGAAGCTGAACTCCAAATCATCATCCGCGATACGGAAGAACTGTGTGTCTTTGAACAATACTTTGGCACCACGTGCCGGTGCCCACTTCCAGGATTTTATTACATTCGGGCCATCAATGACGCAACCGCTCATATACTTCCAATCGAGATCCGTCTCATTCTGAGTCATAATCGGTGAGCTCAGGAAATCTGACAAATATACAGGCTGAGGGTCGACCCCGCGGTGCGGTCGTATAATGGTATCGGCATACCGTACGCCACAAGCCTGTGCTAGTCGTAAGCCGTGTAGGTGAGATAGTACTTGGTTGTTTGGGCCGTAAAACCCGCATAGAGATAGCATAGATTCACTGGTCCCTGTTGTTACCGACGATATATTCGTCTTATACTTATCACGATTTGTTACATTTTTAGATTCTGTAAATCTGTCTACCCGTATGTGTACAAAAAATAAATATAACGAGCATGTAAGCAAAAATATTGTAACAAATTGTATCTTGGATATGTGACCATTGGAAAGTGACATTGAGTTCATTGTGGATATTCACTTGGGACTTTCACGATAGCAGTCTAAAAATTTAACCTACTGAACAAGAGACACTAGAATATTGAAATATATATTTATTTCTGCGAAACTTTCCTTACAAGTCCTGTTGACATTATCACCGATTTCTTGCCCGTCGCCAAAAAAACGTGTGACGCTTCTTTTTACTCGACCACGTTAAAGTATCTTTTTTTTGCGTAATATATCTATTTTTTAAAAAGACCCGTATTTGTAGACCCCAGCCTCAGACTGAGAAACTGATTGTGAGTCATTGACCAGTCTGAGCCTCTTTGAGGTTTGTATTATTTGTTTTAACTCCGGGTTTCAGTAAAACCGCGGTATAAATTGTACAGTATCGAACGGAACATCATTGGTAGATAATACCGCTTTGGAACCGCACAGCCAGTGAAATAGTAAAGAATGCAGATTAAATGCCGAAATTGCTAGTATTGATGGCCAAAGACATGTCCGATTGCTTCCGTACGCTTGTAAGAGTTCCTATAACGCACGGACATGGCCAAGTAGGCCAGAAATGGACTATGACGCGCCAAGAACAAGTAGCGAGTGATTAAATGCCGAAATTGCTAGTATTGATGGCCAAAGACATGACCGATAGCTTCCGTACGCTTGTGAGAGTTCCTACAACGCACGGACATGGCCAAGTAGGCCAGAAATGGACTATGCCGCGCCGAGAACAAGTAAGCGAGTATTTTAATGCCGAAATTGCTAGTATTGATGGCCAAAGACATGACCGATAGCTTCCGTACGCTTGTGAGAGTTCCTACAACGCATGGACATGGCCAAGTAGGCCAGGAATGGACTATGCCGCGCCGAGAACAAGTAAGCGAGTATTTTAATGCCGAAATTGCTAGTATTGATGGCCAACGGCAAAGAAACCTTCTATCTGGGCTCTTCTGGTTCATACCTATACGGATTGAAATATTTGCAGTGCGTGACCGGTCTGGTCTATATATCGTTGGCGAACGGCTAAGAAACCTTCTATCTGGGCTCTTCTGGTTCATACCTATACGGATTGAAATATTTGCAGTGCGTGACCGGTCTAGTCTATATATCGTTGGCCAAG